AAGAGATTTTTGGGAGAGAGATGGGGGATTAGAGAGACTGAAACCCTAAACTTCGTGAGAGACACAGAGAGACCCCAAAGAGGAATCCCTGTCTGTGAAACCTTAGAAGTAGGGCAAAATCACCCTAGTTCTAAACCATTTCTAGGGTCCAAGGACCCTACCACTGCCAGAAACTTGCTGATCGACATATGGACCAAAAGGGCAAGAGGAACCGATTCTGATACGGGAGAGCCCCAAGGGCTCAGGAACTTGGGCCATCCGGCCCAGTCTGGTATTTTCTTCTCCTTCATTTCCTATTTTCTATTATTGTATTTGTTTTGATTTGGCTTTGATTCACTTTGAATGAAAATCATATTTTGAAATGCTTTAGATCACGCTGGCTCCGCCACAGATCTGAGGCCAAGACTCGTCACCCTTGGTGAGTTAACTTCCATCAAACAGAAGTTGGGCGAGTCTCCTTCCCTGTTTATAACCAGATTTTGAGAGGCTACTATGCCAGTCATTGAAACGCCACTCCCTGAAGCCGTGAAGGTAAGCATAGCATTAGAGAACATGACTCCAGAATATATGACGTTCTTCAGTATGGGGGCAGTCTCTTACTCATTTGATGTTATGCTTGAAAAAATATCATTGTAGATTAAATCTTGCAAGTTTTGTGGTTTCCTCAGACCCTTAGCTCACACTGCTCACCCTGTGAGCCGGAACCATTCCGCCAGGCCAGAACCTAGCAGATGCCATTTTTTAACCCCGAGTCTAGTAAACACACTGTTTTACAAAAACAAATTATTAAAAATAGTAAAAAAATCCATATTGACCCTAATTGTTTTCCAGAGCTTCACAAGACACAGATTTACAAGACATAATAAAAAAAAAAAATTGTTTTGACTAGGCTGGACTTGGGCGACACTAGGCGGGTCGTCTGGGAGACACAACCTATGTCACCCAAGCCTGGGCGACACTAGGTGCGCCCAGCCACGCTTTGGCCCAAGAATTTTTTACATATTTACATGTGTTTTGTGGTTATCTTTTGAGTGATTTGGCTGCATGACGCTGTTCGTCTTGGTTAAATCTAAATTTTAAAAAATAAAAGACTTGTTTTACTACGTATTTGTTGATGATGGGGATAACCATGCCCCAACAAATCCCTTGTAGAAAAAAAACCTATTTTGGGTACCACCTAAAAGGGAGAGAGTTTTGGAAGAGGGATGGGGGATTCGGGAGACTGAAACCCTAAACTACATGAGAGACACAAAGAGATCCCAGAGAGGAATCCCAGCCTGTGAAACCTTAGACTTAGGGTACAATCACGCTAGTTCTAAACCTTTTCTAGGGTACAACCACCCTACCACTACCAAAGACTTGCTGATGGACCAGAAGGGCAAGAGGAACCGGTTTTGATACGGGCGAACCCCAAGGACTCGGGAGCCTGGGCCATCCGGCCCAGTCCGGTATTTCTTCTCCTTCATTTCCTATTTTCTTTTATTGTATTTATTTTTATCTGGCTTTGATTTTTTTTGATTGAAAATCATGTTTTGAAATGCTTCGAATCACGCTAGCTCCGCCACCACAGATCTGAGAGCAGATCTGCTCATTTTTGGGCAGATTTGATCTCAGATCTGAATTAGATTGTTCGCATTTTCTCTCCCATTGTTTTTTTTTTCATTTCTTTTTTATCAGTTTAAAGTGTCAGATTAGGGTGATCTACAACTTTAGATCGCTCAAATCCGCGCTGTAAATAGTTTGATCCCACCATGGGGCAAATCGAGCGTGATTCAAGCATCAAAATTTTGAAAATCTCATAATCTTTTGATACTTTGCATAAATGTTCTAGGTACCATTTTGTGATTATTATTAGGTCAAAATAAAATATTTAAAAATACCTAAAAACTATTTTTCTGTTACATTGGCAGTCCCCACCTATCCCTTTATTTTAATTTATTTTCATCAAAAACTATTTTATTTGCTGTTTCTCCAAGTTTACAGTAAGATTATTTTATCAATATATAAAATAAAAAATATATAAAAGATTATTTTATCAATATATAAAATAAAAAATATATAAAAACAATAAAAAAATCTATGTTTTTGGGCGACACACCTGGTGTCGCCCAGCTTATTATGGCGACACTACTCGTGTCGCGTGGGCGACACACCCTGTGTCGCCCAAACCAGGACATTTTTAATTTTGCTAAAAATTTATAAATATATTATAGGACCTCTCTTGATTCTTCTCAAAGATGTTTTGGAGAAAAATAAAATTTTAAAAATACCAAAAAAATATTTTACTCGATATAGGTCTGTCCTATCTGAACTTCCCCATTTTCCAGTTATTTTTATATTTCATTAAAAAAACTTGTTTTTCTTGGTTCCAAAAGTTTACAGTAGTTTCATTGCATCAAAATCCATCATAAAATAATATAAAAAAAATAAAATAAAAATATTATTTTTGGGCGACACACCCTGTGTTGCCTAAACAAAAAAGTCTCAGATTGTTTTGAAGCTTTTCAGGTCTCTGCCATAGACTTTTAGGTGAATTCTCACAAAATTTCAGCTTAAAATAAAATGTTTAAAAATACCAAAAAAATATTTTTCTTCTGGTAGGTCTGCTCTATTCTTAACTTTCTGACTTCATTCTAGTTAGTTAATTCCTGTTTTTCCTGATTTCATCATGCTTAGTTTAGTTTTTCTTCATCAAATTTAAAATAAAAAATATATATAGAAAAACACCAAAAAAAAAAAAAAAAAAGAAACTGATTGAGGGTTGCTTTTACCCCCCATGAATCATGTCCCGTTCGAGTCATCCTCGACTCGGGTCACATTCAACTTAGCACGAATAGTGCCTGGTTTCAGTGCTTTGTCCATACATTCATAGGGGTTCCTCACCCCTCCATCTATATTTTGCCTCGAGCGAGTTTCGCCTTGAAGCGCTCATCACTAAGCGCGATCAGCACCAAGCGCTCAATTGTTTTCTTTCTTATTGTGTGCCTGTGTGCTTGACTTTATTTTCATTTGCGTGCTTCTTTACACACTTAGCACACACTGACCGGGAATCCTGTAAAACCAGAAAACAAATTTTTCGAAGACCCCCAAATTCTGAGTTAAGGCGTGAGGGGAACCCAGCTTTGAGAGTCGAGGAGGTTGGGATTCGTGTAACTTTAACTGTGAGCATCCCTCCGTAATCCTTTGCCTCAAAGCAGCTCTGCGTATAGTAGGACCTGGTGAACATACTATAACAGGAGGCCAGGACCTATGTGGGGACCTATATAAGCCTAGCCGCATTTCATTAGTTAGGAACCCACTCCAGACCAAGCCTACGTATAGTCTTATATTCTTTTAGGTCAAATGTTTTCGAGCACTTGTTTGCTTACTTTTGGTAGATTAACTGTAGATCTTAGTCCGGACCTCATTTGGGTCCGAGTTGAACCTTCGGGGTCCGAGTCCAAGCTAGTACCCAGTTTAGTCTAGGTCCGAACCAAGTTCTGCCTTGGTCCGAACCCAGGCTCCCCCTTGGTCCAAGCCAAATGCTAGTTCCTTGTTCATCTTTGATCCAGTCCTGGTCTACACCTAGTCTGATCATCAAAACTATCTGGGTTCAAGTCTAGGCCTATACCCAGCTTGCCTCAAGTCCGAACCTAGGCTTCCCCTTGGTCGGAGGTAAAAAATCGTTCCTGGTTCTTCTCCAAGAGCAATCACCATGTCAGTCACCCAAGGCGACTATGATGACTGTTCTACGACCGACTCTAAGCCCAACCTTGCCAAACCTAGGGACGACTATGCTGCAATCCCTTGGGATTACGGTCAGAACTCAGCCCAGTCCATAATTTGACGCCCCAGTCTCCAACTAGAGGGAGAGTCCCAAGGATCTACTCCCAATCCCGAGGTGTGATGGTCCGAAAAGCGAACTCTGCCAGAAAACATTGAATAGCCAGGGGTCCTCCCTGGCGTTGTCATACAGGGAACCTCATGTAGCCACAGTAGGAGTCGTGTTACCTTAGGCAACCAAAGTAGGAGTCAGGCGAGGGGAGAGGTCCATGCTATATCTAATGCCCCCTAGAAGTCATAACTAGATAACCTTGAGGCTCAACGGTCTCAAAATCAAGACCAATCTAGGTCTAGGAGGTCTAACCCAACCTCAAGTCATTATAGTACAACCCATGAAATCCTGAATAACGTACGCAACATAGGTGCCAATCTAGACCGACCCTTAGGTGAGATGGACATCCAGGGCACCCTTAAGAGTGTAGTTGATCTAGTTTACTTTGTCCAGACCCCAATTCATGGGTCGGTCCTAAACTAGCCTAATAGCATAGGTCAATCCCTAGCACAGCCGAGTCAGCCTATTCTTCAATCGGTCCCTCTGGTACATCCAGTCCAACAACCCGTGAAGTTTCCGCACCCGGTGGCGATGCCTATGAGTCAGTACGCTCCTGAAGCACAAATGTGTTAAACCTCCCTGGTAACTGCGGCTCATCCATCACAGGCCCAAGCAGGCCAACATCTACCCCAAGTCTCGACTCATCAGTCTATGCTTGAGAACCCACCGACCGGTGGGCCTACTCTCATGCTGAATACCTAACAAGAAGGCACCTTAAAAGCGATACAAGATATGCTTGTAAGGATGGGTATGCATGAAATCCTACCCCCAAAGGCCTATGTTCATGAGACCCTTGGAGGCATGGAAGACCTTCCCCTTGGGTTTGTCATCCCAGAGTTTAAAAACAAATTCAATGGGAAGAATGACCCAGATACTCACATCAATGCGTACCTCCTCTCCGTCCAAGCCTTGCGAGACAGGCCTAACCAGTTGAAGGCCCTGTTTTCACAAACTTTGACCGGTGAGGCTTTGAACTGGCATCAGAGAATAATGACAACTCAACCACACATTACTCTAGACGAAATGTTTAACCAGTTCGTCTCTCATTACCGTGGCTCGACACCAAGATCTCTCTCCCTAGGTGAGCTCAGTGCCACAAAACAAAACACAGAGTAAATGAATGCAGGCTCATAGGGTTATACTAAAATGTAAGTGTTTGCATAAGTGCTGTATGTGTGCGCATACTAGTTGGTGTGGGGTACATATGGATGAATGTGCCCCCTGTTATGTTATTTTAGAAATGGAAATTCGTGATAAATTTTCATTGCAGAGAGTATATGAATGCGGGTTTATGGGGTTACACTGAAATGCAATTGTTTATATAAGTACGGTGTGTGCGTGCGTACTAGTTGGTGTGAGGTACATATGGATGAATGTGCCCCTTGTTACGTTATTGTTCGGGAAATTCGTGAAAAATTTTCATTGCAGAGAGTATATGAATGCGGGTTCATGGGGTTATACTGAAATGCAAATGTTTGTATAAGTGTGGTGTGTGCGTGCGTACTAGTTGGTGTGAGGTACATATGGATGAATGTGCCCCCTGTTGTGTTATTTTTAGAAATGGAAATTCGTGATAAATTTTCATTGCAGAGAATATATGAATGCGGGTTCATGGGGTTATACTAAAATGTAATCTAGTTTGTTGCTTAAATATGAGTATAGTTATGTTATTCTTTTGTGACATTTGTAATATAGTGTTTTGATAGAACAACTCAATTGATTTTTTTAGATAATATTTGCAATCATCTACATATGTGGTTTGGCTTTTTATGTAGGGTCAGTTGAAAGATTTATATGGACCCCACCATATATGTCGGTGCAACATCTTCCCTATGCCCAAATGACACGATTGCGACCATGGAGCAGGTTCCTTATCTTACAGAAATGCGAGATGGGAACATGGCTCATCAACCAAGGGCCTACAAATAGAAGAACCATATATAGGGATGAAGTTTGGTTATGAGAATGAGGCATATGAGTATTATAAGGAGTATGCATTAGCCAAAGGTTTTGGCGTCCATAAGGGGACTACCCACAATAAAGATGGTCAAAGGATTGATAGAGAGCTCAATTGTTCTATGGAAGGGTTTCGTCGAGAGAACAATCGGGTAGGTGAAAAGGTACACCCTAAATCAAGGTGTGGTTGTATGGCTAGGATGGGCCTAAGTAGAAATGCAAATAATGAGTGGGTTGTGACTAGGATTATTACGAAACACAATCACGATCTTTTGTCTCCAAGAAAAGCTCGTTTAATTCGCTCACATCGAACATTGTCAGGCGTTGCAAAGTTGATGATAGGTTCAATTAGGTCAGCATTGGTGAAGGCCAGAAATATTCATGACATTTTTATAGAGTAATCTGGAGGGATTGATAATGTTTATTGTACACAAAAAGACATCCAAAATGAAATTTCCAACTCCAAATAAAAACTGAGAGGAGAAGATGGAAGTCTTGTTATGCAATGGCTTTATAAAATGAAAGAATTGAACCCATCTTTTTTTTATAAAGTGAAATTAGATGAAGATAATCACATCCTGAGAGTCTTATGAGTAGATGCCTTTTCTAGAGTTTCGTACTAGTGCTTCTCTGATGTGGTAACTTTTGATACAACATACAAAACAAACACCTACGGTATGCCATTTGCACCCATTCTTGGTGTAAATCCCCATCACAGTTGGATTTGCACTAATTTTTAATGAGAATGTCGAATCATTTGTATGGATATTTGAAAATTGTTTAGAAGCTATGGGGGGACGTCAGCCTGGAGTTATTCTCACTGATCAAGACCCTGCAATTTCGAATGTAGTGAGACAAGTTTTAGACCAAAGTAAGCATCATTCTTGTAAGTGGCATATCTTTACCAAAAATTAAAGAAAAAATGTGCCATGTCTTGTGCATGCATCCAAAAGTTTCAGAGACCTTCAGGAGGTGTGTGGCTAGTGCAACAGTGGAAGAATTTGAATTGGGGTGGAAAAATATGATTGAGAATTATGGCCTGGAAAGTAATGAGTGGATTGCTAGGCTCTATAGTTGTCGCATGCAATGGGTCGATGCATACTTGAGTGACACGTTTACAGCAGGTATGAGTTCCACTCAAAGGAGTGAAGAGATGAATAAGCACTTCAAGATGTACGTAGCCTCTTCAACAAGCTTACGTACATTGTTAGAGGTGACGACAAAGGTGCAAGATAAGAAGGTATGAAAGGAAAGGGAAAATGAATTAAGAGATATTGATACTACTCCAATATTAAGAACAACTTCTTTTATTGAGGCCCCAGCAGCAAAGATCTATACTCAAAAGATTATGAAGCTATTGGGAGAAGAGGTGCTGAATTGTATTAATTTGATGAGTGAGCCAATTGAGGACAACAGATTGCTTGCCACTTTTAAGGTGGCAATACCAAGAAGCTAATCTAGACCCTACTTGGTTGAATTCAATTCCAATGACAATAGCGTTTGTTGCAGTTGTCACTTATATGAGAGGATGGGTCTTCTTTGTAGGCATGTGTTGAAGGTTTTTATGGTGAAGAATGTATTTGAAATACCCCCACAATACATAATGAGGCGTTGGAGAAAGGATATAAAAAATGGGGTTTTTATCGATGAGAGTGGCAATCAAATTCAAGAAACATCTCAACTACCACGCTCCATTCGATATAATGAGGTCTATCAGGCAACTCGATACCTCGCCGAGCATGCATCAGAGAGTGCAGAGCTCCATGAATTTATAATGGCCATAATAAACAGCGGAATTTGTCAGGTTGATCGCCGATTCGGGCGTAAGGGAGGTCCACAGCATGATGCCACAATCAATTGTAATGCTGAAGAGTATGGTAACGTTGAAGCAAATGCTAATATCGACGAGAATGCAGCTAGTTGTAGTGACACACCAATTGAAAGTGAACATTGCCAAAATATTCTTGAGCCTCTATGAGCACGAAAAAGGGAAGACTAACCAATAAAAGAAAGAAAGCTCAATCAGAAGAGTGGAAGCCGCAAGAAAACACCAATAAGTCGAAGGAAAAGACCAGGAAGTGTGCAGTGTGCAAGGGCAATGGGCACGACAAAAGAAATTGTTCGTCATTCATTCGTGCAAAGTAATAATGCATAGCATTAGTATCTCTTGAATTTTGGGACTGGTCAAAATTCAATACATGGCATGGTTGGACACTGCCCAGGCATATCTGGGACACAAAATAGGCACTAGCTTGGAGATGTTAATATGCAATTATGGCAGTTGGATTAGATTGTTTGAATCTTTTAGTTTTCTAGTAGTAGTTGTACCCTATTGCAGAGATCCCACAGAAGGAGTTCCAAGATGACAAAATGAGTTATGGGTATTCATGTGCTGTATTTCACATTACTAACTTTCCTTTTGTAATATCTCTATATTAAAAATTTGCTTGTTAATTCTCTATTTATGTTCTAGCTTTGGAAAGTATGCTAATTCTATGTCTAGGTTGATACCCATGTCCGTGCATGTACAATAAAGAGATCTTCTAATCTACCTTCTTGTTCAATAATTTGCAGAATTAACAGAACAGATTTGTTTCTTAGAAATGAAGTCTACAATATTCTGATGTGACAAGAAATCAAGAATGCCCTTTCTCTATCTTGTTTTAGTGTTATGTTAAATTCATAAAAGAAAAGCATTCAACAAAAATTTTTAGATAGTAGAAACAAAATGATGGAGTTCTATGTCCCATCTTCTTGCAATGATTATGGCCTCCTACTTCCGAATAGCTATCGACTTGGTAGTTTGGTTTTTCTCATGGAAACACGTTGTGGATTTCTCATGTACCTGTTGTCTAACCTAGTATAGACCATTGCATATATGGTGTTACCTTGCACTAACATTTGGAAGTGAGCAGCAACAGATTTCTTTAGATGGCCTTCTCAATATTGAAGTGAGCAGCAAGAGATGTGCCATGTGTTTCCTATCTTCTTTTGGCCATGCGTTCTTTACCCTTTATCCTCGATATTGAATGTGATTGAGATGCATATCAGCATTCTATAAGTATGTTTTCTTTGTATACCATGCAATAGTGGTGGCAGATGATATATTATGTCATAAATAGTTAAAGTGACAAGCTGATTCTATATTTCACACTTTATCATTGATATTGAATGCCTAATTCTTGCAACAACTCTGATTTCAGGTGTTGAAAACTATTCAGTTCAAATAGAGGTTCTCATGGGATGTAGGCTGGTGTTCCGTCAAATTTTCCCAACCAATAGCAGAACAACTTGGAGCATCATGCTCCAAAGAATTCGATGCAGCAGTCACTCATGTGGTTTTGCTCGATTTAGGGACTGAGAAGGCTCATTGGGCTATATAGCGAAAGAGTGAAGGAGGATCTTAATTCATAGTTTTTTCTTTAGTATTTTTTTGGGATGAAACATGATTGATCCATTTTACACAATCTCTTTATAAAATGATTGTGCTTTATCTAAAGGTAATGTAGGAATTTTGAAGAGATATAGTTTACGTGGGTATGTGTAACCCTTTTTGGGTTTTCTTGGATTTCATTAGTTTTGTTTGCTCAATGGATGTGGTGCTTTGAGATGATGGGAATGTGTAAGTTTGAAGGGACTAATGAAAACAAAAGTGGGGATGTTGGATTACATCAGTTTGTAATTGCAAAAGTATTGCTTAATGATGATGCATACACCAGTACATTAGAATGTGATATTGTTCTCTCTCTCTCTCTCTCTCTCTCTCTCTCTCTCTCTCTATGTGTGAGAGCACTTCGCATGTGCACGAACATGCATATTTGGATACTTTAGGATCACTATTTCAATTGCATGTATAATTAGATATAGCTTGAAGTGAAGAGTGGGAGCAGGACAGAACATGTGTGTTTTAATTGTGCTTGGGAAGCAAGAAGGAAGTGTCTAGTAATGGCCCTGGGGAAGTACCTATGCTTTTCTTCTTTACTTTTCAACAACAAAATATTTTTTTCGAGAGAGAGTTACTTGTCAACAACAAAATATCTTCTAATGGTTTTGTGGCTTCCTTCTTGGTAGGCAATTGAGAAAGTGAAGACTGATAAGAATGATAAGCTTTATCAGGATGTGAAGATTTTGAAATATTTTTGTCCATTCAAATCCCATTCAATATGTTTGTCCATTCAAAATGCCATTCATATGCAAGTGCCATTCACATTTTTATCTATTCAAATGCCATTCACATACAAATTCCATTCAATATTTTTATCCATTCAAATGCCATTCACATTTTTCACCATTCAAATGCCATTCACATTCAAATCCCATGCAACAATTTTGTCCATACAAATGCCATTCACATTCAAATTCCATTCAATATTTTTGTCCATTCAAATGTCATTCACATTCAAATGCCATTCACATTTTTGTCCATTCAAATGTCATTCTAACCATATTAGAATACATCACCAAACAAAAAAATAATAATAAACTGAACTACATTTGTAATGAGACCATGAAACAAACGCCCATTCCTTTCAAAAGAAAAAGAATGGAGAACATCAACAATATAAGAACAATTGCGCTCATAATAATAAATTTATAATAAATTTTACAGTGGCTACTTTCTCAGGGACCATAGCAACAACTTTGAGCTTCTCTTCTTCATATAGAACAGGATGTACTCCTTCAGTGACACAAACATCTGGCCTCTGTGACATGAACCTTCTGACCATGGGTTTTATATCTTGGCCTAGGAACTCGTCACACCACACTAGATGGCCGCATCCCACTTCATTCTAGTGGTTAACACAAACATATAAAAGGTTTTAGGTTTGTGCTTAAAATTAAACAATAATGTGCTTTTACATTATTTTCATGAATGAATGGCCTATTGTAGTTATCTTGTGTTTTTGCGATAAATACGCGCATTCGACCACATTGTCGTCTACGTTTACAAACTAATGGTGGGAATTGGTTATCGAGATTCATTCTGCATAGAAGTGACAAGAGACCTATGAAGAACTTCATCGTTAACATTCTAAAAAAAAAAACACCATGTAAAAATTCATCACAACCATATGAAACACAAACCCATAAATTCATGTATAAAGCTCTCAACACTTTACAATGTAAAATAATAATGTTACAATGTCAATTGATGATGTGTGGAGATAGTAAAAAACTGGTACATGTGTTCATATTAGATATAGATTATTCAAGTCTAATTCTCTATCCCAACCTATTATGAATTCGATCAGTAACAAGTATACACATGTTATTCAGAACCCAGAAATACTGCTTAACTCGAAAGATCATGTATGCAAGTTCATTTTTTTGCGTTTTTAAATTGCCTATGGTAGATATAGCTGCCATCCAAGTAGCAAACTCATAATCTTCACTTCAAAGGGCAGCCTATATAGAAATTACTAAATTTTGGTGAGTATAACTCAAGAAACACATAAAATAATTGCATAAATGACATAGAATACAATGGCATGGTACATGTAGGTTCCATGCAAATTTTCCAAATAATTGTAAGTTGTTATTAACTAGCTGATGACAAAAATGAATATTTCCTCACGAGGTAGAACAAAACCAAAAAAATCATATTCACTTTATACGTAATGTAAGTTAAAGATACCAAAATTGATATTTTCATGAAAAATAGTATGATGAGAATGATACAACAATACAAATTAGAGAAGTAGGACCTATATCTCTTTAAATTTTCTATAATTCAGGAAAAAGGAAACTTTTTCATACCAGACCCAAATAAAAGAGGGAACTTTTTTCATCATATTGAGAACGAACCTCAGAGCAAACCTTATGATAAACACAGAGACAACCCAAACCCCCAAAACCCAAAACAAAAGAATGATATCACCTATAAAAATCAAAATAACGCACCAACATCGTATCCTAGAAAAATAAAGATCAGAAAAAAATACTAAAATAGATTCAAAGATATCCTAAAAATATAAATAATGTAATGGGGGAAAAGATTCAAAGATAGAATACATAAACCTTGGGTGAACCTCAAATCTACTGATGATTGCTCAATCATCTTTGCAACAGCAATGGAGCACAATTTTTTATGAAATTTCAGAAATTTTCTGTATTGTAGGTTGTATTTGTAGAGAGAGAGGGGCATAGATGGAGATTGAGAGAGTGGGGACTCAAAAAGAACTTGATGGAGGTTAATAGCCGAGGAGTCACAAAGGTTTGTTAATCATAAACTTCATGCATACTGACTAAATCTTGGTGTGGTCTCAATTCATTCTTGCAGTTCAATTGAAATTGTAATACATTAATATTGTGTACAGAATTGATACGAACATAGTTTTGTTGCTCTGTATCCGTTCACAGGGACACATTGAATGACTGAAAAACCAAAACCCCCCAAAACCAAAATGGAACAAACAAAATCGAAATGCAAAGATTAAACAATAGCATACCTGAACCTCGGATGAACCTCAATCTACCGAAGGTTATCTCAATCGTCTTTGCAGCAGCAATAGAGCATAAAAAATTTGGGAAATTTCAGAAATTTTCAGTGTTCTAGGTTATATTTCTAGAGAGTGAGAGGGGCATAGAGGGAGATCCAGAGAGAGGGGCAGCGAAAGATATATTGAGAGGGGCAAAGAGCGATAGCCGGGAGAGAGATTGAGAGAAAGGGGTGAGTTTCAAAGAGATTGCGAGGGTTTGAGAGATAGGCCAGTGAAGGAGTAGCAGGAGAGAGAGAGAGAGGTTCCTCAAATTTGATGGAGAGAGAGAGGGTGGGAGAATGGCAGCAAGAGAGAGAGGGGTGGAAGAAGGAGGAGAGATAGAGGGTGGGATAGTGGCAACAGGAGAGAGTGAGGGGTGGAAGATGGAGAAAAGCGAGAGAAGGTGGGAGAGTGGCAGCAGGAAAGGAAGAGTTAATGCAAAGATTGAGAAGGGAGAAAGAGGGTGGGAGAGTAACAGCAGAGAAGAGAGAGATACCATCATGAGAGACAGGAGAGAGAGACAAGGCAGGCTTGCCTGTGAAACACGTGACTTGTGAAGCGCTCTTGCAAATGTCCGTGGTTACTGTAGCTTGAGGGAGGTACTGACGAAGCGTTGGGCATGACGAGATCTTCATCGCGAGATCTAGCCCGTTGGCGTATGAAGTCCGTATACGTGAGCAGGAGTATGAAATCCGTTTATATATATATGTATATATATATATATATATATATATGAAAAAAACTGGGATCAACACATTAGCTCATATGAACATATAAGTCCAACGGTACAGATTAAATCCGACCGATCCGACGATTACGGATGTCCGATAGTGTTTGAATTTTTTATTTTTTTTATAAATCTAAATTACTTGAAATTTTAGGTGTGTTTTCTTTTCGTCAATGCGTACCTAATAAATGTATAAAAAAAATTATTCGTAAAAATAAAATGACCAAAATACCCCTTGAAACTTTTCAAGGGTATTTTGGTCAATTTATTTTATGTAAAATATTTTTTTGATATTTTTCAAAGATTCAAATATTTTTAATAAACACACGTCTAAAAATTTTTTTGGATTTTTATAAAAATAAATAAATTTCAAATATCGAACATCCGTGATCGTCAGATCGGCCTAGATTCAATCTGAGCCGTTGGGCTCATATGAGTTAGTGGGTTAATCCCAGCTTTTTCGCGCACACACACACACACACACATATATATATATATATATTATTTAATCCTAATCGAGTCAAGGGTTTGACTGCTATTTGTATTAATCCTATATGTAGATATTTATAATTTCTATTTTGATGAACTTGTAATATTTTTTGAGATAATAACTGAAAATCTTCTTGGTTATTAGTAACAAAGAGAGTTTCTTCTACTGTTTTTATGGCATATCCGATTTTGATGTCGAATGTACCTTTTTTGTAAATATCTGATATTGGAACCTTGTTTTCAATATCATTAATAATGATTTCTTTTTTGTTCTTAATCCTTAGAGTTCTATTAGTTTTACTAGTTGTGGTATCTGTCAGATTCTTAATAAATTTCTCCATTATTAGGTTGCGGATAATGACAACTCAGGACGACCAAAAGTCCAGCGTTTTCCCTAAGCGGCTCTTCCTCGGCCTTGGCGGTACTTTGCATAAGACTTTTTCGTCTCGTGTCTTAACTCTCGGACCAACTTTCTCTAATGGATTAATTTATTAAGTTTCTTAAGATAGCAAAACTTGTAATACTATGAGATCTCTAAAACAGGGTTGGCTCTGATACCATTTTAGCCCAAAATCTATATATATATATATATATATATATATATGACCTTATATGGACAGAATCCTCTGATTCTTCCAATACTTTTGATACAGAATCATCTAGTTCAATAAAAGATAATGATTGTAGTTGTCCAATACCTACACATAATGTACATACACTTACCCAAGAAGATAATTTCATCTTGGACATTATTGACAAAATTACTGATCCAAATGAAAAAAGATCTACCATCAGATATTCCAACAACTTCAGAATCTAAACCACATGAAATAACCATTCCCTCTGTCAATTTAATAGACAAAATAGTAATTCAAAAATGGTTTGTTCAAGTCAAAATTATAGTTGCAAAAGATTATAGTTTTGAAACTTCAGCCTTAATAGACTCAGGCGCTGACTTGAATTGTATCAATGAAGGTCTAGTACCTTCCAAACATTTTGATAAGACTACTCAAATATTAAATACAGCAGATGGAAGTAGATTATTTATCAAGTATAAATTATCTAATGCTTCTGTTTGTAATAATCATCAATGCCTTGATACACCATTTATCATGGTAAAAGGATTAAGCCAAGCGGTAATACTTGGAGTCCCATTCCTTACGTTGCTATATCCTTTGACCATAGATCAAACAGGAATATCTTCAACTATTCAAAATATACCAATACATTTTAATTTTATCCATAAACCAAAATTAAAAGAGTTGAATAATGTCAAAAGTCCGTTACAAAATAAAGAAAGATTTCTTTATACCCTAAAACAAGAACTTAAATATAAGTCTATTGAAGAACAAATAAATACTTCTTCAATGCAACAAAAAATCCAATCAATACAACACCATATAGAAACTTCTATATGCAGTGAACACCCCAATGCTTTTTGAGAAAGAAAAATGCATAATATCAGTCTACCATATGAACAAGGATTTGATGAAAAACAAATACCTACAAAAGCTAGACCAATACAAGTGAATACTATCCTATTAGATATGTGTCGCAAAGAGATTACTGACCTCCAAAATAAAAAGCTCATAAGACCAAGCTCCTCACCTTGGAGCTGTGCAGCCTTTTATGTCAATAAGAATGCTGAAAAGGAACGAGGAGTTCCTAGGTTAGTTATAAATTATAAACCTTTAAATAACGTTTTAAAATGGATTAGATATCATATACCTAATAAAAAAGATTTATTGGATAGAGTTGCTCAAGCTTGTATCTTTTCTAAATTTGATATGAAATCTGGATATTGGAAAATACAAATCCAAGAACAAGATAAATATAAAACAGCATTTAATGTCCCATTTGGACAATATGAATGGAACGTCACGCCGTTTGGTCTCAAGAACGCTCCATCTGAATTCCATAAAATAATGAATGATGTTTTTAATGCATATCATCAATTCATGATAGTCTACATAGATGATGTCTTGATTTTCTCTGAATCAATAGATCAACATATTAAACATATTAATACTTTCATACATGCAGTCCAGAATGCTGGATTGGTAGTTTCAGCAAAAAAGATTACTTTATTCAAAACCAATATTAGGTTTCTCGGCCATATGATTCATCATGGAACAATTATCCCCATAGATAGATCAATACAATTTGCTGATAAATTCCCTGATCAAATACTTGATAAAAAAGAACTCCAAAGGTTCTTAGGATGTTTAAACTATGTTAGTGATTTTTATCCTAATCTTGCTATCGATTCTAAGCCTCTATATGATAGACTCAAAAAGAATCCTCCACCATGGACCAATATTCATACTCAGGCAGTACAAGTAATCAAAAGAAAGGTAAAGACTCCTGACTGTCTTTCTCTTCCACATCCAACTGCTTTTAAAATCATAGAATGTGATGCTTCAGATATCGGTCTAGGCGGTATTCTTAAACAAAAAATTGATAATCAAGAACAATTACTCAGATATACTTCTAAGGTTTGGAATTCCACACAAAAGAATTATTCAATGGTAAAAAAAAAACTTTTAGCCATTGGTCACTGTGTTTCGAAATTTCAAAGTGATATTCTTAGTCAACACTTTCTTATACGAACTGACTGCAAAGCAGCCAAAGATATTTTGTAAAAAGATGTTCAAAATTTGGTTTCCAAACAAATATTTGCTCGATGGCAGGCTATATTATCCGCCTTTGATTTTTCAATCGAACACCTTCCCGGGTCTTCCAACTCACTCCCTGACTTTTTAACCCCTGAATTTTTGCAGGGGGGCAACACTGACACAAACGACGAATCACCACTGTCCTTAGCATTACAGCTGTTCGAGGAGAATAAAAATAATAATATTTTACTTTCACTTTCACCTAGTCCAATGGGTTCTCGTGGCACTTCTCGCCAAGACAAACAACCCATGTCGAATATAATACCATATGAAGGGGAACCATCGCCTTTGGCAATTCGTTCACCTTCCCATTCGCCTGTTCATCAAATCACCTACCCTGAAGCTACTGCTTCAAGACCTATATATTCTCCAACCCAGACCAAGTCTGCTTCACAACCCAATATACCCAGGTCTTCCTATATAGAAAGAGCCTATCTCATGGATATTACTATCGATGAGAAACATGTTAATACTGAGCCAATAAAACTTGCTCCTTTATATTTGCTCAATCATCTTAACCCTTCCAATGGGGTTAAAACCAGAGAATACTTTGAAGCCATCTTGATGGAAACGGGATCCATTTCCGTTGTCCACTATTATCAACAGAACACAAGGACCATTGCATATTCAAAGGTCCAAATTAAAAACTTACTTCCCTATGAAGAGTGGGGTTGTAATCCCGCGCAAGGGAAGAAACTTCACAACCCAAACTTTTCTTATAAATATTATAAGTATGCTGAGTACATTGAAGCTTGGCATAAGTTTTTCTATTATCAAAATCCGAATAACACACACAGCTGGTACATTCAGTTCCGGCTCCCTATTTTCGAAAGATTCCCCACATGGTTTAAAAATTGGTTTTTTGTGTGGGGTTCAACATCTCAAATTTTACCTCCTGCTTTCAAAACAGTGCAAGAACAATTCAAAGAATATAACCATGCTGATAATACTATTGACATCCACCTATATTTCATGGCTCTATACCAAATTCCATGGATAATGAAATGGGATTATTCAATCTCAGTTGATACCACTGGTGATTATTCTTATATCCCCAGGCTTGGAAAAACTATCTTTGTCAAGTGGTGGGACATATTCAATATGGACCCTACAGCACTCACACCCAAAAGAATACCTCAGAACACCCCTAAGAAACAACCAAGCCCAATTACCAATACTTCATTTGATTTCCCAACCTACCTGAGAAATATGCTCCAGTCAAACCCTAATGCCTCAAAAGAGACATTAGAAAAACAAATGAAAGAAATATTTGCTGAAGCTAGGAAAAACCAGTTTCCTCTGAGGAGACCTTACAATCATCTCCTCTACACACCAACCAATATCTTAAACTCCCGATAGAAGATCCGGATGAAGAAACTGATCCAGAAGAAGATGACCGGGACGAATTCAGTCTGAGACCCTGAGGAATATTCCATAAAGAATAAAAATAAGTTGTTGATAAAGATTCCAATATCCATACACGTGCCCAGATGACTGTACCAACAATAATGATCCAGGCACTCCACCGACGCTGTCACCATCGTTACCGACAACGAATAAAAGCATCACCGACAATGAATAGTGATCACCGACAAAAAAGCATCATGAACAGTGATCACCGACATATACGACAGAATTTCACTGTAGCCACGATTATAAAAGACAAAAGTTGTACTGTACAAGATGCCCATAAAAGCATCCTTTTTTGTT